TCAAAATGACTTTTTCTTTTTTTAAAGGAGAAAATGCTCTAAAGCCATCTGCAGCTCTGAAACAACAAAGTCTCCATCTGCTACACATCGGCTACTAGCAGCTCAGACATCAAAGATTTGCCCACTTGTCAAGTTCAATAGCCACAAGTTACTCTGAATGCTGGAGCTGAGCATCAGACCAAAAAAAGCCCCTCCAAACATCACAAAACCCAAGGACCTGGCAGCCACGTTCATTGTGCCAAACCTCTACATTACCAAAAAGGATTACGCAGAGATCTTCCGATACAAATCCATAAGGAAAATAAGTTTCGTTATTTTGAAGCAGCCACATCACATAATTTTGTTGTATTATCTCTTCTTTTAAAGAGGAGATGAAAAGTGAAGTATAGAAGATTATAATAAAAACATTTTAAGTTTTGGGAATATACGACTATTAGGCATATACATGTATGACTACACTGACTATTGCTTTTAACAGCGGGTTTTTGCAGTCATTTATCTTCAAGAACTGACATAAAACATAGTTGAGAGATTCTCAGCATCGAACATTTTATTCTCATCAACTGAACTAGTGGCTCATCTTGAAAGGACCAGAACCTGACACAGGGCTCCAGGCATAATGCAACTCGCCCTCTTCACCCCCAGAAAGAAGGTGGAATTGAGTTCATTAGACTCTTCTTGCTGAGCTGACCAACCTGCGTGCCACCCTAGCAAATCGCATTTAGAGAGTAAAGCACGGGATCGCACCAGGCATGTGCTCTCATGTCCTTTGGATGGTCTCTGCAACCCCTCACACGCTTCTGGGAGCTCCTGCAACGCCAGGCACAGGTCACTGCCCCAAACAGCCCCTTCCCTGCTGTGCAAAACGCGACCCCTGGCACCCTCTGGCTCCTGGCTAGGGAACCACACTGCACCCACATCCCCAGCGCGTGTATTTTGGCAGCAGTGCCCCAAGTTTTCCCCAGAGAGGAGTTCTTTCTAGTCCAGGCTGGAATGAAGCTAGAAGTACTCCCTGCCCGTGCCGGTGCCACTGCCCGGCAGCACCCACGGCACCCACATTTCCCATGGAATCCATCACTGAAAACAAGTGTGCAAAACACACAGAGGCATCCAGCCTTAAGAGGAAGGGATGTATGGCTAGTGCCTAACAGGAAAACATTTTCCCGTTGTATTTTTGACTCTCAATACATCTTTTTGCATTCCTCTGCTGATTTTTTTTTTTCATAACAAAATACTGTTGTTGTTGTTTTTTTTTTTAAAAAAAAAAAAAAACACTTTTGCACCATCTTCCATGGCTTGCCATCATTCCTGTTGTCTCTCACTATTGCAGTTAATGTTTGCTTCCAATTAGCTTCCGACATTAATGCGTTGGAGTTTCAAGACCATTAATTACCTGGACTTCACAAGTTACCCTCCAATTGGGAAGCACACACGTGGTGCAAATCAGTGCCAAAACCACCGTTTATCAGTATTATCCCTTGTTTCCTTACAACCCTCCCTGTTGGAAACCTTGATTCTGTGTGATAGTTGCATAAGGTCCGAGGTGAGGACAGTCTTTTTTTTTCCATGTTTGTACAACACATAGCAAAATGCAGCCCTGGGACCTGAACGTGCCTCTTAATTTGTATCCCAGAAAACAAATACCAACCACCAGGTAAGAATTCCAGGAATTTGCTTCCCTTCTCTTTGGAAGTAATTTATGGCTGAGGAGGCTGAAGAAGTCCCTGGTCCATTCAGGTAACCAAACACAGCAACACAATATTGCTCTCTGCAAATGCAGTTTGAGAGCATACGGGGCAGGTACACTTGTGTGTACAGGACTGTCTTCACCCTGTGGAGAAGCCACTAGCACAAAGTAAGATCAGCAGCCAAAAACGTAACTCACAAAAACAGCAACAGCTGAAGAAACTACTTATTTTGAGAGCACTGATAAAAACGAGCTTACAACAGGTTGTTTATGCTTCATAAGAAGTGACTCACATGCAGGAACACTCACTGATTTTGTCTGTGGCTTTCCCCGGGGAACAAACTACAACCTGCCTCAGAAGCACTTTTCTCCAGCAGTTTCAGTGCCGTGAAGTTTAGTCTACACAAATGCTCTTTCAGGAACCCTGCTCTAAAAAGAGATCTTGCCCATTCTAGTTCTAATTTAACTTGGTAGTAGAAACAGGAACTGCAGAATGACTCTGCTACAGCACATAGGAAAGTTAGCACTTGGTGTCCCAGCATCCTGCCCAGAACAGCCAGGGGCCAGCACCTCTGCAAAAAGAGCACGGACAGAGGAAACCCGCAGCAGTATTTTTCCAGAGTGCTCTAACAATGCACGGCTGATGCGGAAGTTTTTACATCACCAAAGGGGCACAGAAGGTCCTACCTTGCCCAGTGGTCAGAGCTTCAAACCCACCACCCCGTCCCCGCCTTGGCCACAAATGAAGAGCCACATCCATCCCATAAGCTACGGGTTCTACCTTGCTCCTCTGCACCACACTCACACCAAAGCCAGAGTCCCCTACCTCCTCCTCCTCCCTTTTTCCGTCGCAATGCCCTTCTTACAGCAATAGGTCATTTTCATATGGAGTTAAATGAAAAGGATTCAGAAGGATCTGCTCAGAGTTTCAATGCAGAAGGTGATAGTAATACTTTCACCGCCAGGCATTTTAAAGTATGCTGGACGTTAGACATGTTTCAGAACGATCTTACATGAAGCAAAATACACAAGGTCTCTAGGAATTCATATCCACGTTCTCTTAGTTTATGTTTTCTCCTCCAGCTGGTCTGCTTTGCCGTTTAAAATTTATTTTAATGTCATAAAACCAACAAGTCATCTTCAGTTCCATAAACTTTGCTAAAAATGGAAAAATGTGTTAGTTACCATGGGAACAGCGAGGAGTCGCTAGGTCAGGATGCAGAGAACTTCTCCTGTTCTGTCTGATCATTTGCATCAGAAGTTCAGTCAGCTGTTATTAACTATTTAACAACAGCTGCACTTGTTATCTCTGGTGCCTGCTATTTAAGCTTGCAGAACCTATTGCCCCACCTGCAGCCCTTTTGTAAACTCCTAATTAACGTGAGTTTAATTCATCTGAGGGTTCAGTTTTCTCCCAGGCAGGATGATCACTATTACTAGCCTTAGCTTGCTGGTCAATATTCTCCTTTCTCACCAAGGGGAAGGCGTACGCTTGTGCAGACACCCCCCTGGAAGCAGCAGCTTTATTGGCAGAGATGTCAGCCTGGAAAGAACTCTGTTGGAGGGTAGATGTGGCTGCATCCCTCCCGTTTCAGCACACCCCACTACAGTACATTCCCCAGTTCCACAGCATCCCTCTGCCTTCTATACCTCATCTCCTCCACACCGCAGAAGGAACTAGCTTTGTAGTTTTACGTCAGAATACCAAGTGTGGACTCAGCTATGTGTTACTACCAAAGAAATGCTACCTTGTATCCTCTAATTAAATCTGGATATCCATCTATATTCATCTACCAGCTGCATACGCTAAGAAAGCAAAAACTCAGCTCTCATATTTGCAAGCTTGAAGTCTGTAGTTGAAATCTTCTCCCTTGACCTCACTATCTTCATTCAAATCCGTGTGACCTAAAACAAAGTACCGACTCCTGAATCTAGTCCTAGGGCAGCTGGCCAGACCTGTTGCTCTTCACTCATCGCGCTCTCAAAAGAAAATTGGAGGCTACACACTGACAAAAAAGGAACAACATACAACTGTTTTTCTTTTACTGTTCCTAAAGCTACTTAACAGTAAAAAGAAATTAGTCCTGCTAGGAACACATACCAGGCCTTCAGCAGGAAGTCCTTGTTTCAGTCATTTAACGAGAAAGTACTGCGCCACATACACCAAAGCGTGCTGTTTACAGGTACAAGGTACAGGTACAGACAGCAAAGCTCAGACCCCCAAACTTATAAAGTGAAGGAAAACAAGTTGTAAAGTACTTATGTGGGAATGGAGAGAGAGCTTTGCAGAGTATCAGAAGGCTAAATCACAATCCAAATAAGCAGGGAATATTTTCCAGTCTAGTCTTTCACTCAGACGGCGGGCACACCAACAACCTGATACCTGCACTAGCAATCTCAGCGCAGCAAGAACTGGTGCAGAGACAGCAGGGGCTAAGAGGCCCTCTCAGATTCTACTGAGACGAGAGATTTGGCAGATGAACGTACATGTGCGTACGACAGATCTAATACAATAGCAATGGCTTAGGGCACCGTGTATCACAAGAAAACAAAATTTCATTACTTCTGGTGCCAAAGAAGAAGATGCAAATAAACAGGCTAGACCATCTAAAAATGCTTCTTTCTCTTTGGCCATGTTCAGGAAAAGTATCCATTAAGAGACACTCAACTTCCCAAGTGCAGGCTTCGTGAATTACACCCAGGGCAGCTTTCTGACCATCAAACCCCATCTCACTCCAGAGAGTTGGTTCAACTCCAAGAAGCTATCCAAACACTGATGGCACATCTAAGCCCAAGATAAACACAGCCACACTGAGGAAGAACTATTAAGCACATTTTCTGTCCACATGTAAGCATGTGAGGCACTTACTAATGCTGTTGAGCTGCCTTTTTTTTTTCCAGAATACCTGAAAAACAAGAAAGTGAGAAACAAACCAAAAAGTGCAAATGCACTGCTAATAACAAAGTTTTAAGAGAATATTCACAAGGAGAGAGATAGAAACACTCAAAAATTCAAGAATTTTATTTTAATGGATAACACATGAAACAGTAGATATGTAGTATGCGGGTTCAGCAGGAGCTGATACTCTTGGAACTTTATTACAACCACCACGTCAGATAGAAATCACACCTACAAGCTGAAACTTTTGCAGCACTGCTGCTAGAACAGAACTAGCTATCCAGTTACTTAATAAAAAAAAAAAAAAAAGCATAGGTCTTGTTAGGAAGTATCCTCAGGTGAGGAATGTAGATTACGAATCCCATTATTTTATCCAAAATAAAGACAAAACAAAAACCCCATGTAAAATCTGACCTGTAGAACTGTAGTTTCTTTCTGCATTCATCTTCTCTTTAAGCTTTCTTACTTCATCTCTCAGAACTCTTTGATGTTACAACCTGTTCATCGCCATCTAAGCGGTGGGTAATATATCTTGTGGAACTTTGTCAGAACATGTTTGACCACCCAAAATCCTCCTCCTAGCTAGCGAGGCTACGTTCAGCTTCAGGAGGTTTCTTTCAGTATTTGCAGTCCGCATTTAGTGCGTGGAGTGGAGGAAAAGAAGTAAGGCTAGCAGATCAGAGGCAGAGAGTACACTTCTTCATCAGAAACGCAAGGATCTCAGAAAGAACAGAGGTGAAATTGATGATGAAGCAGCATGAAGCTCCTCAGGTAATTTTTCCAATGCTATTAACCTTCACCTACAAGGTCTGCCCTTAAGTGGTTAAACAGTAACCTGCAAAAGTAAAGAAGTTACAAAAGAGACAATGCACACTGCTCATTGAAAAGGGGCTGGGAGAAGGGCCAGGCCCACAGGGTTGTTTTAAACTTTATTTAGAGGGATAAACGAGCACATTGTAACTCTCAAGTCAAGAGCCTGCTCATTTTAAAATGGATGCCAGAGCCCAGCACTGAATTTGGAGCTGTGAGCAGAGCCTGTTGCGATAGTTTCGGAGCAGAGCCGTGTCCCACGGCACAGCCCGGCCGGTAACGAGCAAGCCGCGCTGCTGGGCCCTAACAGCTCCCTCACAGCCGGAATGTGAAGGCTTTAGCAGAGTCCCCGTCCGGCTCCCCCTCTAACCCGCGGTGCCGGCCGCACAGGTGCAAGGCAGCAGGCGCTGGATGAGCACGGGGCCAGCCCCCTGCCTGCACCCAGCGCCCAGCGCCCAGCTCCCCGCTGCCCGGCCCGGCTCCCCCGCTCCCGGCCGCCCCCGCACCCACCTGCGGCGCGCGGCCCTTTGTCCCCGCCGCGCACCATCCCGGCAGCGGCAGCGCCCGTGCCCGTGCCCGCCGCGGGGGCGCGCAGCGGGGCGCGCGGCCGGCGGGCAGAGTAGGGGCGCGCATAGCAACAGCGGCCCGCGCCCATTGGCCGCGCCGCCGCCCGGCCCCGCCCCCGCGGCCGCAACGCTCGGGGGCCGCGGCGCGGCCCGGCTGCCTCAGGCGGGGCAGGGCCCCGACCCCCAGCCCAGCGCGGCTCCGTCCCGAGGCGGCAGCAGCCCCGCCTGGGGCCAGGCGCCCAGCCCCGGCCTCCCGAGGGCTGTCCTGGCGCAGCAGAGGCACCGCGGGCACCACCTCACAGCCCACAGAGACCTCCGCACCGCCAGCGGCTGCTGAAAGCCACCCCCAGCTGCTGCTTGTTCCCGCACAGCTTCCCCAGTTTGCTTTATTAGCAGCTGGGGGCAGCCCCCTTCAGAGCCACTCGCAACCCTTGGGCAAGGTCTCAGCTCTTCTGCCCGCCTCTGCCGCTCTCAGGGAAGATGCTCGCAGTTTCACCGGGATTTTAAAAGGAAGAAGTATCAATGCGTAGCATAAAGCTGCTCAGAATTTCATACTGGAAGCTTAACTGAGGATGAATAGAGCTAGTTTATAAAAACACACCCAAAACAGAAATCTGAAGGCCATTATGTATCCTGGGATGGGATGCAGGAACATCAGATGCCTTTCAAGCACTGCCACTTAACCTGTTCTAATTGATCCAAAACCTTTTCTCACAGAAACTCTTGTAAAGCCAGTGTGACTGTGTAGGCAGTGACCAAAGGCAGTACAAGAATAGCCAATTTTAATGAGCGTCACTCAATGTAGGACGAGGCAGGTGTGTATTCTGGCACTTTTACTCTGAATGCATTCAACTTTTTTTCCTTTCACATTCCCAGCCCTCGAGCCCCTCACACGAAGCTGGACTTACCCTTTGCATCCTCTTTTAAAAATGGATCTCCACTGCAGAGCTTTTCTAGTGTTATCAACTATTCCTCCTGTTTCCGCTTCATAAACTGGCTGCTTGGTTTTACTCGTTCGCTTTTTACCAGCAGGAACATGACTAAAACGGGTCTCCCATCCCTTCCTCGCATTGGTGTGGTGTAAGCAGCCACCGGCCCGAACACCTGACCAGGAGTACTGCTAGCGGTGCAGTTCTGGTAGCTGTCAGCATCCAGCCCTTTTCCCCACTCCCAGCTCTCCAGATACTTTGTTTCTCACAGCCCCTTCATGGCTAACAAAGTGTCTGCCCGTTTGAATGGCCTACCATTCACAAGGCCCAAGCTGAGTTTCCCCCTCAAAGCACAGCAAAACAAAGCCACACTTCATTAAAAGGCATCTGAAGTGGGAAGCTTGGCATAGCAAATTCGCATAAAGAGTCTTGTTTAAAAATTTTTACAGAAAATAAAGACTTACTTCTGAGCGGTGTAAGAGTCGATACTGATCCCTTTGACCTGACCGTGCACTCCCAGTTCGTGCTGGTCCTGGCAACTTTGCCCCAGTTAGTAAGAAACTCCCCCTCCTTTACTCCACATCACTGGAATATTTATTAAAGCTCTTCTCCTCCTGATCCACCGGTTCTCTTCTCTCTTTCCCCCAAGTCAAGCTACTTGATAAGAGTTAAAAGCCGAACTAAAAGCCGTGATTAACAAGGGCAAGCAAACAGGAGGCATCAGCCCAATGTATCAAAAAATCACTCTGCTCACACAGAAGTGATGTCCTCAGTGACCAGTCACCACAAACATTTACTCAAGTGTTTTTCTTAACCACCCTCAGCCCTTCCAAATCTGCAGACAAAGCTTTCTACCAAACTTGCTGGCCTGCTTGGAAGTGCGAATTTTAATCATGGTTGCACTTGGGCTAGTGCCATGGCAGGAAACCAAGAGCAATGCCTGGCTGGGTAGAAGGGCTTCCATACTCTGAAGCAGAGCACACTGACCACGGCAGCTCTTCTTGCACCTCTCCTCCTCTCTCCCCTGACCCTCAGAAGAAGTCCCCACACCCACCACCCTCCCCCAGTGGTACTGACCACGCTGTGGGTATTAGCTAACACTCACCAGCTTCAATTCTTCACCAAAGTCCTGTTTCTTCCCTTCCGTCCCCCCACAGTACCTAATGACCAGATGATACTTGCACAGCACCCTGAGAAAGGAGCTGAATTTATTGCAGCATAGGGAACTGTGAAACATGCCCTAGAAATCTTGAGGACTCATCAGTGGGCAAAAGGAATCCCTGCACGCACGGCACCTGCAATAGGTTAAACTAGTACAAGCAGTCACCTGCGTCTCACTAAGGAATTTCACAACCTACAAAGGACCTACTTACCAGCCCGGTTCCCAGAAATCCCAATGGAAGTCACCAACTTCACAGGACGCGCAATGTAAAACTGAGGACGTGGCACACACGCAACCTGAGGCCTTCTTTCGGAAAGTTCTCTTTACTTCAGAATACATTTTTATTATACCTCAGAAAGAAATCTGTGACTGTGCACTTACAGCCATCCCACCCTGCAAGGAACAAAGTCACACTTAAGAGGTTTGGGAAGTCTTTTAGAGCAGTGCATCCATCACAAAGAGGCGACTGGGTACTACCTGCCTGGATGGAAAGCGTGGATGTCCCAGCAAAATGAAAAATGGTCAAGTCAAAATAAACTGGGGGAAGCTGAAGAACTCCCCTTATTGCTCTTAAAAGAAACAAAGATGCCCAGAAGACTTCTCAGTATGACTACTTTGTTCATGTCTGTTTCTAATAATGAATCTCGCCTTCAGAAGGGACACGGAAGTTTCATCATTAGTGCATGTATGTGGAGTGCTTCATTCCTCGGGTGCTCATTTGCCTCCACAGCTCCCCCCTGCAAGTCATCCCTGCCAACGTGCTATCCCATCACATCTTTTGAGTCAACAAAACCTAGTAAATCCCATTCCAGATACCAACGTTAAGCAATTCTGGTCCAAAAGCTGACATTAAAAGGTAAAGTACCAACCATCAGTGAAAAGAACCAGTTCTTCTTTGTTACGTGGGCCTGACATCTGAATACAAGTGAGCTAAGTAAAAACCACTTAATTTGGTCACTGTAACACTGCAATGTTAAAAAAAACAGCTTGAGAATTATCAAGGCTACCGTACAACTTAATTATATGCTTATGAACAACCTTTAAAAACAATTACAAATTGCTCTTCTGATCTTGGCAGAGTTACACTTACAGATCAGCTGTACGCGGCCCAGGCTGAGCACTTACAGCCACATCCATCCCACCCTGAACAGGACGAGCAGAAAAAGGACTATGGAATGAACGCCAAGTCTTCCAAAGTCCAACTGTATTTGCATTCACCTAGGCATATAGACATGCTGAATTGCCTATCAATACACGAAGTTTTGTGCTCAGTGGTACAAAGGTGACTGTGCAATTGTACACGCACGCCTAATGCACTTGAAACTTAAGAACAAGCTTCTGCCTAAACATTAAATACAAATGACCTGCAAAGACTGAACAATTGAGCACCACCTTCAACGACAATGAAGTGAAACACCTTTAAAATCTAAAAACCAGCTTGGAAGTATCACATCAGGATGGAGAATTTATTAAAGCTGTCATGACAGATAAACTACAAGACCTTATTGACCAGAAGAACAGCTGGTAATTGCTGGACTGGTATCTTAAACTTGTTGCTGATAGAACAAACCCTATGGCTATTCCGCCACCATTTAACAGTTGCTATTAGAAGTTTGTCAAAACACAAACCAAAAAAAACGTTCTGTAAAGAGCGAAGTAGAGCAAGTTCTTTCAACAGATGTTACATAGCCGGTTTGTTCCCTGCAGTTAATGTTTTCACAGAAGATTTCTAATTTTAATAAGCAGAATTTCATTTGGCAACAAGCTCACATCTCTCATGAGAATTTGTATTTATAAATGTTAGCTTATTTTTAAAAACATTTAGAAACTGGCAGACCTCGGATCCAATAATAGTTTCAACACTGCCCTTAACTAAAATCCCATCTAATATGTTTCAGCCCAAGCATCTCATCTGGCAAGCCAAAGTTTCTCACTTCAGCAAGTGAAGAATACAGTCAGAAAGGTCAGTTATATAGCCCAAGCCTTGGCACAGCCACAAGACCCAAAATACCCCCGTAAATGCTTCTCAGTGTCAGTTTCGTCAACAGGAGCCCCTCCGAACCTGGCGAGTAGGGATGACACCAGCCAACCACCACCACCAAAATAGCTTTTTCTAGTCTGGTTTGTTTTCCCTGAGGGACAGACAAAGAACAACCACTACTGAACACAGGTAACAGCTCTCTTCCAGCACAAGAGCTGGTCCTACAACGAGGACCTGCCTCACTATTGCTATCTAGGCACACCTTGCAGAGCAGGGAGAAAAACCTTAACATAAACAGGTATTTCAAATCAAAACCTAAGGCTTTCTGATTCTGCAAATGAGTACCACTAGATTTATTTTTGGAAGAAGAAAGATGAACACCTAGAAGCTAAGAATTCCCCTACTTTTTTTTTTTTTTCCAAGCGGAAATTTAATAGAAGAGCATATATTCCTATTTCCTGCGGGCAAGGACAGAATAATATTGAAAATAATCTAGACTCTACCCTCGACTAAAAGGGAAAAAAAGAAAAAGCTTACATTCCTGTTCACTCATCCTCTTTCACCGTGCCTGCACATTACGTGCTCTCAGGACAGATCTGCTCCCCCCAAGGATGAGGTGGATGGCTTCATGCCGTACAAAGGGAATCTGAGTGGAATATCCTGACCACCTGCCAGCATGGTTTATTTGTTTTATCCTAAACAGTTTTAGTCTCTTTTAAAGAATAAGCTGTTTTTATTTGAAAGTAATCTATGTAGGAAAAGCAGGCACATACCCACCCTTTCCTGCCCTTGGCTGCTCGCCCCCCTCTCTTCACGCATCTTTCGGTGGCCGAGACGTGCTGGAGCACAGCAGGGTATTTCTGCCAGAAACGCTTCCTCCTGGGCCAGGAAGCGGCGTCACCTCCCGCTCATTATCACACAACCTGCACTTACCTGTGGCAGCCCTGCCAGGAGCATTGCTGAAACACCTTTGGGGTGACAGCTCGGCTGAGCAGGAAGTACCTCATTGCCAGTTT